GCGGCTTCTCTGGGCCTGGGCTGACGCGCACCGAGGCCTGGATGTTATCTCGGGGAGGTGACCTTCTGCACCCAGCTGCAACGTCCTGGGCCCGCGGGTCCAGCTGTCTGCCTGAGCGTCCCTCCCTGCCCTGGCTCGCTGGCCGCCTCAGCCACAGGGGCTGCGAGAGCAGCGCGGTAGCGGGGACCACCGGGGGCACCAGTCCTGGAGGAAGGGGCGGTCGGAGGGCATCAAGTGAACACGGCTGCTCCGCGAGTGGTTAGGTACTCGGCCGTGACACTGTCCACGTTGCCCAGGCAGGGGTGAGAACCGCCGAAACCCGGGGGGACGAGGAGCCGGGGGGGCTGTGGAGAGAGCTCCTAAGTGGTTCCCCGGCGTGGTGTCGGCAGACGCTGGCCTCGGGGACAAAAATGTCACCTGAACACATGGAGCCCAATTCCAGGAAAAAAACGTAGTTTAAAACGTTGAGAGCCCTGGCTGGCGTAGCTCAGTGGATGGAGCTCAGGTTGGAAACCAAAGCGTTGCAGGTTCAATTCCCAGTCAGGGCACATGCCTGGGTTGCAGGCCACGGCCCCCAGCAACCGCACACTGATGTTTCTCTCTCTTTCTCTCTCTCTCCCCCTTCCCTCTCTAAAAATAAATAAATAAAATCTTAAAAAAAAGTTGAGAAAATGTACTTCTGGAGAACAGGAATGAATAGTGGGACCACGTGAGACGAGAGACTTCTTCAATTGCAAATGTGTTAGAAAAGCTTGTCTTTTAAGATTAGGAACTTCAATACCTTTGAAGGAATTAACATGTAATTCCAGTCGCCGCGTGTATTGTAACTTCATTTGTGTAACATTTTATCATTCCAAGTTGTTATTTTAATGTAGCCAAATGTGTTAGTTTTTTTTATGATTTGTTCTTTGTGGTCTTAATTTCTTCATTAATACAATATCAAAACACAACGTGGGGTGAGAGAATTGCTACAGTATACATATGTGTGTATGTATATGTAGTATGTCACTAATTATGTGAAATTTGAAACATACCAAGCAATGCTACGTATGTTGTTTTTTATTAGACACATAAATAACTAAGATCCATGAGAAACAATAATGGTAATGACAGGGGACTTAAGACTTCGAAAATTTTAGCTTAAGGTAAATAGCCATAAATCTAGCCAGTAATGTGTATGTTAAGCTTTCGTTTCAGAAACTACAGATAAGGCCCATCCTGGCGCCTGGGAGAAGCAGCCGACCTCCTGGGGCACTGGCTGGAGATTACTGCCTGGAGACACCCGTACCAGGAAGAAGCAGGCGACCACCCCTCCCCCTTGGAGCAGCTTACGGCCCAGGACAGGAATGTGACAACTGCTGAACCTCAAAGCCCTCACCGCACCTTGCTTGTCCTCCCCCACCCCCCTTATAAAAAGATCTGGCCGGGAAAGAAAGGGGAAAGTGGTTTGTTGGGGTATGAACCCTCCATCTTCTTGGCCATCTGAATAAAGCGCCCATAAAAGATTCAATCTCTGTCATTGCTTATTGGGTTTGGTAGTGACAGGCAGCCCGAACGCCGGTGTCTTTTCCGGTTACAGTAATACTATTCTGTCTGCAGCACTTTATTTCTTTAGTTTAAAATCCGTTTCCTTAATGAGGTATTCACTGTGAGAAGACTTCATCGGGAACAAGACACCTTTTTCACTTTTCTGTAGTCTAAAATGTTTCACGTTGAAAAGAGAATCCACCGGCAGTCACAACACACGCAGGCAAGGCTCGCAGAGGGGAAGGTGCTTGGTTCTGGGGACCCGCAGAGGCCCCTCGCCCAGCCTGGGGCTGGGGGCCAGCTGGGGAGGACTTGGGGGGGGGAGGACATCCGAGCGACAGCCTGGAGCTGGGGGCCTGCGGGTGGGCCGGGCGGTGGAGCGGCATTTGCCTAGGAAAGGACCGTGTGTGACGTGTGTGTGTGTGTGTGTGTGTGTGTGTGCCGGGGGAGACAGTGAAGGCCCTGCACCCCGCTCCGGCGGGTCTGGGCCTCGCCCCCGGGAAAGGGCGGCAGCAGGGCCCGGAGCCTTGGTGGGCAGCGCAGTGTCCGTGCGTGACCGGTCGCAGCTTGAGCTCTTTCCAGGGTAGTTTCCTCCCGCGAGACGACGCCCTCGGGCCTCTGGGCCGGCCTGCTCTCGTCCCCCGCCTTCCCCGCTGCGCGCCGGGCCCCGGGGCTGCTGCGCCGGCGCCTAACCCCTGTCCCGTTAGTCATTCCGAGGGACCCCAGCCCTCCCCGGCCCTGGTGTGCAGCGGCCCTGTCTGTCTGCCCGTCCCGTGGGGCCCCGGCTCGCAACCGTGAGGCCCTGACAAGGTTCTCCCCCCTTTCTTCTGCCTTCCGTGCCCAGCCCCCTCCTCCTCTGCCCCCGTGGGGCTCCTGGGCCCTGCGTGCCCGCGCCCTCCGCCCTGGCCACCTGGCCTCCCTGCGCGCGTGGAGAGCCCTGAACGGAGGTGTGTGGGGGGCCAGGACAACCGAACGTGTGGTTTCCCACCCACGTCCCGCTGGAGCGGGGCGGGGGGGGCTGCTTGTGCTACGCACCGGCGGGGTCATCGTGGCTCAGGGGCCGAGGCGCGCTGTCTCGGGGTGGTTCTGGGGAAACACTGGGAGACACCTTGCCTCACCTGTGCGATGGGAAAGCCCCTCTGGTTGGCACTCCGGACCACCCCCACCTTTTGCCCTGGGAAGAGAGGCAGCCGTCCTTCCAGCCGGGAAACACGACCTGACTTGGGCATCACGCACTTCCTGACTGAGACAGCACGAACCTCTACTGACTGCCGCCCAGGGCACCACCGTCCTCACACACCATGCGGGCACACTGGGGAGAGGGGAGGCGAGGCGGCCGGTGGGCAGAGGGGGCCAGGCCAGGACCCGGGCGGGTTCTTGGAGCCCACCACCTCCCTTGCGGTGGGCGGGGCGGGGCCCGGGGGGGGGGCCCGCGGCTTGCAGCCCTGGGGGTGCAGGGGTGCCTTTGCTTCCTGAGTGGGAGGGGGGCGGGGGCTGACTCGGCCGCACGGAGGGTGAGGGGGTAGAAATTGAAACCAGTCTTCCTGTTATTTCTGGGCATTCAACAAGTGAGTCTCCTCCTCAGCACCACCCCAAATTAGGGAAAAATCAAGTCACAGCCCAAGGCTGCACCCTGGGAAGACCACACAGCAACACTGGGCGCACCCGAGGGGCGAGCTCTGTGGGATGCAGAACATCCACCTGAGCACCCACCCGCCTGAGCGCCCACCCACCTGAGCCCCCACCCCACCTCCGGCACAGCACTCTGCTGAGTTTTCCGAGTACCTGGTGTGTCACCTTGTCCCCACCCTTCTGAAGATCAGCCGTCATTCAGTGAACAGCAGCCCATTCAGTGAACAGCAACCGCTGTTAAAAATACCCCCACCCCCACCCCATACCACAGTGGGTGCGGTCATCCACCGGGCTCCCACTCAGAATGCTCAGAGAGGGCCACTCGAGCCGGGCGGAATGCTGGGGGTGGGGGCCGTGGCGGTGGGCCGGAGGCTGGTGCCGGTGGGCCGGAGGCCGGTGCCGGTGGGCCGGAGGCCGTGGCGGCCCTCCCACCAGCAGGCGGAGAGGACTGCCCTGGCTTCCTTTCCCTCCCAGCCCCAGGGAGCTTCGCCCACCTAAAACACCGCCGCCGGCAGGATTCCCGGGAGGACCTTCCACCTAACTGTTTGCCCCAGACCTGCGTTCCAGGCTCCTGCTGGGCAGGGTTTCTGGTTCTCGGGGTACACACGCTGTTTTGAATGAAAACAGTGAGGGCACGTCTCCAGCTAAACACCGGAGTGGTCTCTGCTGTCAGTTGCTGGTGGGCGCTTGGCTCCCAGGGAGGGGAGGGTCACCTGCCCCCGTGTGTGGGGGGGGGCACTGCCGGCACAGGATGAGGTTCTGAGACGAGCGGGGACCCACTGCCCCTACAGGCGCTGTGACCACTTAAATCTAAGGGGCCAGGCCGGGAAGGGGGGCCTGCTGAAGGCCTGGGGCCTCCCAGGGTCCCCGCTGGGACTTCCCCACGGGAAACAGAGGGGCAGGGGGCTGGGCTGGGTGGGAGGGGCCCGGAGGGAGCAGAGGGAGCGAACAGGCAGCGAGGACTAGACTCGGAGGGTGGGTGCACAGAGCAGACCCCCCCGTGCTGGTCAGTTTTGCCGCCCGGCCCGCTGGGACTTGGCCAGGGCCTGGTCCGGCTTATGCTCTGGTGTCTAGAAGTTCCAGACAAAGAACCACACCAGCTCTCCATTCTTGACAAAACCTCCACTTTATTCCCCGAAGGGGACTAGATTCTTTCGTCTTATCCTGAATCTCCGCAGGAGCTGCTGTAGCCCAGACCATCCCGCTGCGGCCTCTAGCGCTGCAGACTTCTGTCCAGTGGCCTGGAGGCCGCCCTGGCCACCCCCACCGCGCCCCCTCCCCCGCCGCCCCAGCACCTGGGAGTCTGTGAGGGGCCCTTCTTTCTAGCTTTGCCTTGTTGCCCCCGCCCAGCACAACCTCCTGCAAATGCGCTCTCTCTCTCCTACATTTGCATTTTAAGTTGCATCCAGGCAGGGCAGCAATCAACCCCGAGTCACATCACAGCTGCAGGCCGATTTTGAAGATGGAAACCGACACCAGGCAGAGGTTTGGGAGTTTCCCGCCTGTGCCACCCAGCGCCCAGGGCCACCTGGGACGTCCTAGCCATGGACACTTTGGGAAACAAAGACGACCCAAAACTTAAAAAGAAATTGGGAAATGCCCTCAAATCTTCTCTATCCCAAGGTCGAAGTTGTCCTTGGCATAGTGACTGCCTGTTCCCGCCAAAAGACACCCACGCACGGCTGCATACTAGCGGGCAGAAGGTCCAGGACAGCGCCCCGCGCCTGTCCCGCCGGCCTTCGGGGAGCGGCGCCCTCTCGGGTCCCACCGCAGCAGCCACAGCCCCGCCCCACCCGCCTGCCCCGCCGGGACGGGCGGTGCCCCACGCAGGCGCACTGAAGCCGGCAGGGGTGGGGGGGGGACTGGGCGGGGCAGGTGGCCCTGGGTGTTTCCGTTGCCCGGAGCAGCCGTCGGAGCCCTCCCGCTGCATCCCTGCCTGGTCCGCGCGCTGCGCTCCACTCCGCTGCTCGCCCGCAGGCTCTGTCTCTCTGTCTGGTGAGTGCGCCCTGGCCCGGGAAGGGTGCCCCGCGGGCGGCTCCGGGCCGGGAGCGGTCTCGGTCCCCTCTCGGTCCCCAGCGGTGGGGAGGGCGGGTCCCAGCCCCGCGGCCCAGGGGTCCGTCCCGGCTCCAGCGCTGCCCCTTGTCTTGCAGGCCGCACCCCTTTCCCGGACCTGAGCAGTCGCCATGGCACAGGTAAGGCCGCGCGCCCGCGCAGCGCCCCAGCGTTTACCAACTTCGTCACCCGCGTCAGGGGACTCCTAGAATCTGCCCGAAAGCCAGCGAAGTTTGGAGTAAAGAGAACCCGCCCCCGGGAATGCGCGCCTGGCTCGCGGCGCCTCTCCCAGTCCCGACTCCCTCCCGCCGCGCGCCCCCGACCTGCTCCGGCGGCGCCTCGCCTGCCGGTGACGTGGCGGGGCTTTAGCGCTCTGCCTTTCGCCCAGATCCCGGAGAAGGGGCCCTCCCCAAACCCGAAGACTCGCTAAAATTAGAACCAGAGCGCGAGCAGCTCGGTCATGTGAGGCGAAGGCATTTCCCCCCCCCACCCACCCACCCCGGCCCCCTTGGTTTCTGTCCGCCAAGTCCCGGGTGTTCTGATACTACGGGTGGGCGTTGGCCCGTTCCCGGCCGGCCGGCCTGCCAGCGCCGCGGCTTCTCCCGGTTGCTCAACCACGTTGTACTGAAGGGAACTGTTCCTTGGGTCGGCTCTGAGGGTTGGTTTTTTTTTTTTTTCATGCAAAACATTAAACAGAAGATCTGCTTTCCTTAAGTAATGGACTCGCGGAGCCGGTTCTGAGTCGAATTTGTCTTGGTTCTGTGTCAGAACTGGGTGGCTTATAATACTGGCTTTCCTGGCCGTCCTCCACGTTGATCACACATGTAGGAAAGAAAATCGTCTGGTAGACGTGCCGGTCTTTAGACCTTGACCATGTCGTAGGGTCTTTTGTGCATGAAAAGTACCACTGCTCAACACCCCCCCCCCCAAAAAAAAAAAAACCCCAACAACTTGCTTTACGGATCTTGTCAATCTAAATGGCTTGTCCGAGTTCAGGTCATTGTTTAAACAAGTGTGTTCCATGCCCACACTGCCTTTTCTCAGAGTTCTCCTTCTCTCTCTAAATCAGATGGGCTTACCTAAATGGCATGGGGTTCCGTGGTCTTTTCCAAGAGAAAATGGGAGGGTTACGATGAGTCGGCAGCTCCACTAAACTCGCACAGGGCCGCTTTCTGACTTCCCCCGTGCACCTAAGGAGTATGACAATGAGCCAGTTCTCACGTTACTCCCAGTGGAACCCGGGGTTTCGGTCCTTCCCCGAGTAAAGGATCCGTTCGGGGGGTTGACTTTCCCCAGAGTTACTTTCCCCGTCTTGATCCGCGGGTGCGGCGATGGAAGGGCGACTTGGCAAGCCCCAGAGAATAATTCTCTCTGTCCTTGCTCATTGGGCCGTTTCTCGGATCTACCTCTTGTACGACGTGTACCCGGTGATGCCTGACGGTTTTCAATCAGTTCCTTTTAATTATGTAGACGCTGTGCCCCAGAGAGCATCCGTGGGCCCAGCTTTCCAGTTGTGGCCGTGAACAACCAACTTCAAAGAGTGAAATCAGGGTCAAGGCCCTTAGAGACACCTGATGAGGGAGAAGGGGGTCTTGTATGAGATGATTATGTGTGTGATTTCTATCACAGTAGCACACCGGACTGTTTTCCTTCCTTTTTTTTTTATTAAGATTTTATTTATTTATTTTTAGAGAGAGGGGAAGAGAAGGAGAAAGGTAGAGAAACATCAGTGTGTGGTTGCCTCCTGAGCACCCCCTACTGGGGACCTGACCCACAACCCAGGCATGTGCCCTGACTGGGAATGGAACCCGTGACCCTTTGCTTTGAAGGTCGGCACTCAATCCACTGAGCCACACCAGCCAGGGCGCACACCAGGACTGTTTTCAAATCAAAGCCACGGTTTTTAGTTACCATGAAAGTTACAAGTACTGTTCAAGATGTGGCGTTGAATTTGCGCTGGCTTTGTGATGAGTCATCCTTGGCAGCTCTTCAAGTACAGCATATTGTTAAAATATTTAATATTAAGACGGGTTATTTTGCCTGTACTCACATGGTGTGCAGAAAGCCCACATGATGGGATCGCACTTGTCCCGTCTGCAGTCTGCAGTTTCCTCCGGACCCCTGTGTGCTTGGAGGGAAGCTTCGGTGTCCAGTTTCAATTGCCCTAGGGTCTACGGCGTCACCTCTCACCTCTGGTTGACCTGTGGGTGTGGGGACCAGGGACCGGGGATCCCTGCTCTGTGGCCATCTGTAGACTCACGGCATCAGTGCCTGAGTCCTAGAGGTGCACTTTTGGCAGACTCAGTCGTGTTATTAAAAATTAATGCCTCACTCATGGAGCCGCTGAAATGTAGCCATCCGCAGCGGTCACTCTCCATGGGCGTGAGCATCTTCCATGCCCGTGTTTCTCTCTGTCCGTAGCTCGGGGCCCCGGCTCACTCCCGCGGGCGCCCGTCTCACCGGGTAGCGGGAGCCAACTTTTTTTCCTAGACAGACTCATGTGTCCTACTTAAGTGCTTTGCTGGGGCATTCTGCACTCCCGGTTTGGGGAAACCGAGATTTGGCCGTATGTCTTAGGTGAACGATCCATTTAACGCATTTTCCTTCGGTTTAAGACTTTTATAGCTTTATTCCCTTAAACATAATGAAACTTTAAACAATTATATTGGGACCGTCTGAATTTAGTTTCATTTATACGGCTAATTATAAAGAGTTAATAGATTCAGGGCAGCAGGAATGTTGTAAAGGCAATACCAGACTACATAATTTTTTGCCAGAAACTTCATGAATATTGGAGTTACCTCCCGGGGGTGCAGTTAAACCGGGCACTGTCGGATTAGAAATGTTTTGGTTGGTTTGGAATCCCTGGGCCGTGGGCCTTTACGCAGGCCCAGTGCAGACCAGCAGGGTGGATGTGAGTGAGTGTGAGGGGAGGGTCACCCCCGCAGAGGGGGTGAGTGTGGCTGCATCTCTTCACGCCGCTCACCTTGAGTCCAGTCTCCATGCAGTGACCAGTCCCCACCTCCCTACACCAGGGTCTTAGGTGGGGTTATCGGTCACCCACGGCCTCTTGTCCTCGCTTTGGAGGCTTAGAAAGCACTAGGTCCCGCATGGCGAGGCTGCCTTGCAAGCCCCGAGGGGTCCCTGGCATTGGGGAGCCTCCCCCCCTCCCCTCGCAGTGGAGCCCTGGGCGGGGGGTCAGCAGTGGGCATGGGGGCCCTTCCTCTGGTGGTACCTGGGGAGTTCAACACGGTGGGCGTGTCACTGTGTTCTTGCGTCGCAGATCCGTTCCTGAGTAAATTTGGTTCACACAGCCTGGGCACTATTCTGAAGCTTCACAAACACGTTGTCAGCTGGGCTTTTTTTTTTTTTTTTTAAATGAATGCCCCTAAGACCTGTCTTTAAGGTTGTTTTTTTTTGTTTGTTTTTTTTTTTTTGATCCAGCCTCTCTGTGTCTTTAAATTCCATGTATAAAAAAGCAACCCTTCACTTGCTTTTGGGTTTAAGTTTCTCCATGTTAGTTTGGCACACCTGGTCTTCGAAGGTAAAGGACTTTTTCATTTGGAGCAAGAAAACAAACCCAGAGGGCCACCAGGAACGTGGGTAATCCTGAAGGTGGCACTGGAAGGGGATTGCGTGTTCGGCCGGGCACTGTCTGAGCCTGCGTGTGATGCCCTTGCGAGGCCGCAGGGGGCAGCGGAGGGTCGGCATCTGGAGCAGCTGGAGGCCCCTGGGGGACGAGGGGCTGAGTGACGTCGCAGACGCAGCCGCGGGGACCACAGGAAGGAGGGGAAGCCCTCTGGCTGAGTCAGGGCGAGTCACGGGTGCGCCGGGCAGGCCGCTCTGTGTGGGCGGGACGGGGTTTGGACCGGACGCCCACCCCAGGGCTCTGCCCTCTGACTCATGCCTGTGAGTCACGTCTGTCCCCAAAACCACTGCGGGCCTTTGCCGGCCTGGGCGGTGACTCCGGTCCTGTGGAATGTGGCAGATGTGGCCCCGCTGCTGGAAAGCCTCGGAAACACCACCAGCAGCCCGGTCCCCTTCAGGGCTGGCGGCCGAGGTTCCGGGGATGCCGCTCTCCCTCCCACCTCCCCCCGGGGTCCCTTCCCCTCAGGGGTCCCGCACCTCTTGTTTGGGGACGTAAATCTCTGCTGTCTGCTCTGTCGCCCACCCTGCCCCTCGTTGAGCTTCTCCCTCTGTGGCTCCTCCGCAGCCTGCAAACTGGATCCAGTGTGTGTTTTTAACACTGTTTTCATGAACCATCGTTTGTGAAATGGGAGCCCCCAGAGATGCTCTGCCTCAGGTCACTGCTCAGTGTCCTTAGTCGGGCTGTCCCCCCCACCCCCCCAGGCACCAACCTCTCTCCCGGGGCCCTGTCCGGTCATCTGACCCCTCCCTGACCTCCTGTGTGTTTGGACAGCCCTTCCTCCCTCCCTCCCTCCCTCCCTTCCTTCCTTCCTTCCTTCCCTTCTAGATCAGCTTCTCTTCCGCTTCCATCCATCATCTTCTTGGGTTTTCTTTTTGTTTCTGGGAGGCCGTGTGGCATTGAGGTCAGGACCCCTGTCCCAGCTCAGCTCCGCCCTGGTCTGGTCACTCGGTGATCCGCCAGACCTTGCTGGCCAGGGAGTGTCCCCCCTGCACCGCGGGGCTCCCCCCTGCATGGTGGGGCTCCCCGGGGACGGCCCGCAGGCAGTGTGGGGGGAGGGGCCCGGTGCTTCTCATCGCCCCGCTGTGCTCATGGGCAGGTGCTCACCGCCCTCCGACCGCAGGTGCCCTTCTCCTCTGGCTCTGGCTGCTGCCCCACCTTCCCTCATTTCTGCCTGGTGACGGGCTCCGCCCCCGGCCCCAGTGCCCGCCCAGGGGGCCTCACAGCCTGCTGGGGGTCATCGAGGGTCCGAACTGCCTCCTGCCCGGGCCTGGGCCTGGCCTTTCCTTTCCACCGCAGCCGCTCCCGGCCCCGAGGGCCCCTCCCCGCCTCCTCCGGTGGCAGTGTCCATGCAGCCTCCCTGTCGCCCGTCACCGGCAGGGCCCATCTTCCCGACTCCGCCGCTGCGGCCCAGGGGACACGCCTGCGGAACTCCCCAGTCCCACGTCCCGAAGGGCCGCCCTCGAGGACAGGACGGCGGGCACCTCCCAGCCCGCTCTGCAGCCCCCACCCGACCCCCCCGGGCTGGCGAAATACCTGCCCCTTCGCCGGGTCGTTGCGTCCTTCCGTGGTTTTATGCCTCTGAGCTCTCCCCTCCCCAGCCTGCCTGGCTGCCTGCCTGCCAGCGCCACAGGCAGCTCCCCGCACGGTTTGGGGAAGTTTTTCCGGTTTCTTCCCAGGCTTCCCACCTCAGCCCTTCCCCTGGTGCTCATGCCCCCCCCCCCCCGCCCCCCAATCCCCCCGGAGAGACCTCTGGGCCGCCCCGCACCTGCTCCCTCTGCTCCCACGGCCGCTGCGTGCTCTCGGCTGTACCCACCCCGATGTTTCCCTCGTGGTCGGCACAGTGCGTGGCGCGTGGGAGGCGATGAAAAGTGGCCGCTGAGTGAGAGAAGGAGCAGGTACCCGTGACCTAAACCATCGCCAGGCCCGAGTCCCCACCCCCTACGAGGGCTCGTGCGGACTGCCCCCTTTTGTGGTGACCCTGGCGGGTCTGCACGGAGGCCTGAGGGGGTCCCACTGGGCAGGGGCAGCCGCGTGTCAGCCCGTGCCCGCTCCCACGGGCCGCCCTCTCGGACCCCAGCGGGTCCCCGCCCGCGCTGCCGCCCCCGTAACGGTGCCGGGCCGTCTGCGGTCGCCGGTCCTCAGCCGCCCGGTTTCCCTGGCACCGGTGTTCCCGAGAGCCTTCCCGGCTTCGTCAGGGCGTCTTAAAGTCCCCTCGAAGTGCTCAGAAGCAGGGCCGGGGCACAGTCGTGTGACAGAGTGCGCTGAGCGTGGCCTGCCCGGGCCAGGTCCTCGCCGCCCGCTCCCCGACCAGAGGGGCGGGGGCTCCGGGGGGGCGGCAGCAGGGGCTGGGGGCTCACCCCAGGGCCACGCCTGCCCCACACAGGCCCGGTGGGTCCCGAGGGCTCCCGGGGTTGGTGCTGCCGACCCACAGGGTCTTGGCCCACTTCAGATCGGCGGCTGCACAGAGCGGATGGGCTGGCCAGTGGGGGCCAGGCTGGACGCGATGGGGGGTGGTGGCTCGCTGTCTCCGTGGACGTGGTTTGACGTGGTTTGCCGGTTCAGCCTTGCTGTGAGCAATGTCACCGCCGCGTCGGCCTCGCCGTGAGTGACGCTGCTGTCTCCTGCCGCAGGTTCTCAGAGGCACCGTGACCGACTTCCCCGGGTTCGACGAGCGGGCGGACGCTGAGGCGCTCCGGAAGGCCATGAAGGGCCTGGGTAAGCCCGCCCCCTCGGGGTCCTGGGGGACAGCGGGGCATTGGCTTTCCCAAACACGAAGTTGCTGATGGGCAGGGGGGACTCACCGGAGAGTGTCTTGGGCTGTGCAGAGAGAGAGAAGGGGCCCCGAGCTATGACCGAGTGACAGGCCTGGCCATCGGTGGCGGTCAGTGTCGGGGTTGGTGGCACGTGGCGGAGGACAGGAGTGGACGCTCTGGGGGGCCGGCACTCCGCAGCCCTTCCCTGTGTGCGCCCACGCCCGTCCCGCTGCCCCGAGCCCCGCACGTCCCGAGCCGGTCCGCTCTGCCCCGCCCCCGCCTTCCAGACCCTCAGGAACCTCTCCGCATGAGGGTCCCCGGGCACACGGATCCGTCCCTAGGCCCCTGCACCAGGGCCCGTGGGTGGGACCCCCTTCCCCAGATGGCCGCCCCCCGGTGAGAAGCGCTCCCCCTCGCCGAGCCGGCCAGCGGCGGCCTTGGGCCTGGCAGGGTGTCTGAGGCGCTCCAGCCCGCCCGGTCCTGTCCGCCCCCCCAACACCGTGACCTCTTAGACAGCACCCTGCTGGGTCCCTGCTCTTCCTCCTCATGTGACCGTCTGTCCGTCTGTCCCGTCCTTCCATCCTTCAAGGCGGGTGCTGCCTTCTCCGTGCCGCTTTCCCCAAGCCCCTCCACCTCCTGTCACTCCGGGACGCCCCTTTGACCCCCCACTGAACCCCAGACGCCCCAGGCCCTGGCACATGCTGCCCTAGCTCCTGGGGGCCGCGTGTGCCTGTGGTTGTTTCCCCAAATTTGTTCCCCAAATTTGGAGAGCGGGCCGGCTCTGCGTCCTCGCTCAGCCCCCGGCACTCCGGGGCTGTGGACGGCCGTGGTCCGGGCGGCTCTTTGTCGCACCCCAAGAACAAGCTGGTGCACCCGGTTTTTGAAAGTCAGGGCTGTTTCCCCCTCCTTCACCGCACAGCCGGGGTGGGGGTGGGATGTGTCGGCTGATACCCCTGGTGTAAACCGTGCGGTAAGTTTTCTAGTTTAATCAGCCACGCAGCGCAGCCTGCCTTCCGGGGGAGGCGCGGACAGTGCGCGGACAGTGCGCGGCTGCAGAGGCCCTGGGGAGAGGGGCGGCTGGGCGCCCTCAGGTGACTGGGGACCCTCCCTCGCAGGCACCGACGAGGAGACCATCCTGACCCTGCTGACCGCCCGCAGCAATGCACAGCGCCAGGAGATCACGGCCGCCTTCAAGACGCTGTTCGGCCGGGTAAGGCTGGCCTCCCCCGGGCGCCCCGCCGGCGGGGCGGGCTTCAGCGGGGTCCTGGGGCCTCGCGCCTCGGGGCAGACCACACGTACTGCACGGGCCCCGCGTTCCTGCTCCTTCTGTTGTGCTTCCAGTTGCGTGACGGTCCGCGGCGGTGGGCGCACAGCTGCTTCTCCTCGGGTGGTGCTCGCAGGGGCAGCCCCTCCTCTGAGCCTCCCCAGGGCTGTTCCGGTGTCTGTTCCGGGCTGCCAGCCTCGGTCACACTGTTTTGTTGTGAGGCGGGCACAGCCTCGGTTTATGCTCCGGGAGCGGGACTTTGAGGAATGAGTTTTTATGTCATGCATTTAAACGCTCTCACCTGGTTTACAATCCGAAGTGGACATTAAATTTGTTACTAAATGGATGAGGGCTTAACACGAAACACTTAGACGTCCTTTCGATATTCTGGAAATTTTCATTCGTTGTTTCATGGAGAAACAAACCCAAAGCAAAAAAAAAAAAAGTCCGTGTGGCACTGGCGCTGGGGTGGGTGAGAAACCTGCTCCTGTGTGATGATGGGAGGCCAGTGGTCCCCCCCACCCCTCCCCCCGACCCCCGCGGCCTCTGCCCTCAGGAGCGGGGTCTCCTCGCAGGAGGGGAAGCCGACCCTGGTGGGGTGGGAGGGGCCAGACTCTGCCCTTCGTGGAAATGCATCTATGATTTTTTGGGGCCGGAATTCTCATGCTTCTCAGGGCAGTATTTTTAAAAAAATAGATACTTTTTAGCATGCTTTGAAAGTACTCCTCCATTTTTTAACTCCTGAAGTAAGGAAAACGTCCCCTGGTAACCGTGACCTTGGACACGCGCGTGACTTGGCTTTCCCTGGTGGGGTGGGTGGGTGTCCTTCCCTCGCGGGCCCCCCCACCCCATCCTCGGCCGCGGCCCCGCGCAGAATTCCTCAGAGCGGCAGCCCTGCTCCCACGCGGGGAGAGCCTCTGGAGGGTTCTGCCCGCTGACCCCGGGTGTCTCCTGTGCGGCAGGACCTCCTGGACGACCTGAAGTCGGAGCTGACCGGGAAGTTCGAGAAGCTGATCGTGGCGCTGATGAAGCCCTCCTGGCTGTACGACGCCTACGAGCTGAAGCACGCGCTGAAGGTGACGGGGGGGCCGGCGGGCCGGCCCGGCGCGGCCCCGGGTGGCGCGGCCCCGCTCTGTGTCGGGGACCACCTGGTCCTCTTTTTATGTCAGGCACGGTGGGATTAGCCCTGCCGGGGTTCCTCGGCGCACAGAACCGGGGAGGCAGCGAGGAGAGAGAGAGAGAGAAAATCCCGTCCGACCAAGCCTTCCTCCCCCAGGCACAGAGGCCAAGACTGTCCCACTGTCTCGCCCCCTTCTCTCTTCGGGACCCCTCGCTCCCGCTGCCCCCTCCCCCAGGCACACCCCCCACCCTCTCCTGCCCTCTCCTTCCCCCGGGCTCAGTTTCTGCCTCCTCCCCTCCCTCCCGGCCTGCCTCGTGATGCTGCGCTCTCGGGGCCTGCACGCGGGCACGTACCTCCACCTTCCTCCCCCACCTGTGCTGAAGGTGCCTCTTTGGGGAATCCGTTCCACTGACTGCGTCTCCTGCGGCTCGCTTCTCTGGGGCACTTCTTGCTACGCCGGGCTCCGTGCAGGCACCCAGCGGCCCTGACTAAGTTCTCAGGGTGGGGCGGGGTGGGGGTGGGAGGCCCTGACGTCTGGTGCTGAGCGCCCGCCCAGCTTTGCCGTGGGGCGTTGCTTGGGTCTGGCCTGCTGCTTCCTGGCACCTCCTTTGTGCCCTGGGATACTGCACCTGTGCCAGACCAGGATGGCGGCTTCTCTCAGCCCCTCGCCGACCACTCCTCCCCACTCCTCTCGCTTTCGTGCCTACGACAGAGGCCTCGGGTCCTCCTTTTCCCTGCGCCCCCCCCTCCTCCTACCGGAATGGGGGGTTTTTCTCTCTTTACCTTAGTCTGCACTGCCCACCCCTGCCACTTCCTCTCCAGGGCCTCTCTCTCCCCTTTCTCCTACTGTGCCTTCAACCAGAGACTTACTGGACCAAAACAAACTTCCCCTGGCCCCTTTCCCTCTCCTCCCTGCAAGGTAGCTGCTGCCTCCCAGCCTGCACTCGGCAAGAGGTCCTGACACCGAAACGTCAGCCAGGGCAATGTGGTTATGGGCGTGCTCAAGAACTGTGTAAAGGCAGCTGATATAATAGGTTCCTCCCTTCCCTGCTGCTTTCCACCCGTAGGCTGTGCTTTGCTTTTCTTGGAACAAGGAAATAGGAGAAGGACTTCCTGAAAATCTATCTCATGTTGCTCTGATGTTTGCTGAAGGCTCACAGTGAGTGAGGACGGTGTTCACAAAGGCGGTTAAGCACCTTGCCTAGGACACACTTCCGGGTGCTGGCTGCAAGCCACGCTCTGAACATAACACACTGTGTACGGCACTGGCAGGCCGCTGCTCTCCCGTCCATCCCAAGGCTTGCTTCCACAACACTTTACAGCCTCGGGGCCGAGGGCCTCGTTTAGTCCCAAGCTGCTGTGCAGCCTGTATCATAGGCCCAGTGCTCCTCAGGTGCTAATTCATAAGGAATAACTACAAAAAAAAAAGAAAAAGAAAAAGAGAAAATCACAAGCATGTCATTTAATCCTGATCATGCAGTTAACTCAATAATAGGGGCTCTTTACATTTTCAGTAATTTTTATAGCCTTTTATCTTTTATTTTCACGCCTGTCTTTAAAACATTACAGATTAGGTATTTTATCTTTTAAAACAGAGACTTGGCTGATGGGGTAACAATCACACCATTAATCATTATGGGTTAAAAAAATAAAGCTTCACAGCATTTTCAGAGAGGGAGGTGTAAACGCTTTCCGAGAAGTAGCGGGTCAAGTTGTTACAGTTTCAGTGTAGCAGGTAAACTGCTGGGCTTCCCTTGACCGGTGCCGGATACATTGTATCAACACCAGCACCCTGTGACATTCCTTTGGACTGAGGGGGTGGGAACTGCTTTGAGTCTCAAGGAGAACGGAAGGGGACTGAGCAGCAAGGACACCCGGTGGTGGGGGGGCTGGGGGGCCCTCAGGGAGCCTTCTGGGAGCGGGAGCGGGAGGGCCCGAGCTGGGAGCCACTCTGCGCTCACCTCCCCCCCCCTCCAGTAATGGCCATGTTGGAACAAGCCCAATCGGAGGTCATCGGAAAAGGGCATCTCTGCACAGCGCTTCTCAAGTGTTAGCAGTGGCGGGGCTTCTGCCGGAGCAGAAATCTAGGTCTTCCAAGTGCTTGATGTTTGCTCGAGAAACAGACACACGAGGAGGAGACTAATGCTTGAACATCCTGTCTTTTAAAACCCAGTCCGGCTGCATGGTCGCTTGTGTCTCCTAGTGTATCGGTGTCGGCGTGACTTTGGCAATCAGGAAACGGGAAACTGACTGAGGTTATTTTTTAGAACCCAGAAGGGCAAGTCCCAGTTCAATGCACAATCGCTGAGCGGCCCCTGCGGCCCCTGCAGCCCCTGGGCCGGGCCTGTCTCTGCCCCACGGAGGACCTAGTGCAGGGCGGGACTCGGGTTCGGAGATTCAGGTTGTTTACGAGGCTCCTCCGCGTGAATCCCTGCAAAGGTTACATTGTTCCTAGTTCAGCCTTTTTGTCACGTCCCGGGTCATCGAAATGTTTCACTTTTAAACTGTCTAGAAGTAAACAGATAAAATCACAAATTTGTATAGTCCCTTATGTCTATATATGCACGCTTACGGAAACATTGTTTCTCATTAGACAGAAAGGGGTGCAGAGAATTAATTGGCTATTTCTTGTTTTGGTCACCAGCGGAACTCACTGTACCTGGAAGTGAATGTTACGTTGGTTACTCTCTATGTACTTCTGCAGCGGGGGTACCGTCTGTTCTGGGAAAACCACTTTCTTTTTGGCCTCACTGACACGTTTTTTCCTGTGAAACCCCCACCCAGGGCGCCGGCACGAACGAGAAGGTGCTGACGGAGATCATTGCCTCCAGGACGCCCAGAGAGCTGGCGGCCATCAAGAAGGTTTACGAAGAAGGTACCGGGTTCCCCCTGAGTTTCCCTGGCGCCCACTGGAGCGAGGGCAGGCCCGCGGTGCCCGGGCGGCAGGCGTGGGCTCGGGGGGCCGGGGGAGGGGTGGGGGAGGGGGAGAGTGGGCCTGTGCCCAGCCCTCTCCTCCAGCCCTGTCTGTCTTCGTGGCTGGACGGGGCCCAGCCGGGAGGCAGAGGGAGGTGCGTGTGGCCGCCACCTGTGGCCGCCTGGGAGCTGCGTTTGGTGTCACGGCCGGACACCCTTTCTGAGCCTGAGGGGTGAGCCCGGGTGCCGCCAGCGACGGGCGGGGTGTCCCGGGGGCACCGTGCCTGCTGGGGTCCCCACTCAGCCGCATGGCCGTCCTGAACCACTCAGGGGACGCACCCTGTGCAGTCCGGTCCTCGGGCGTTTGCTGTCTGCTTAGGGGTGGCACGGCCTGGCAAAGGGCACCAGGGTGGCGACCCTCACACCGGACTCAGACCCCAGAAACATGCAGTGCAAGAACCCGCTCAGTCGTGGCCGTGGGTGCCGGGGGGAGGCTGCGGGCGCAGCGGGGGCTGAGCAGGGCGTCCACACCGGGCGCGTTTGGGGTCGGGGAGGGAGGAGGGTGTTTTCAGTCCCCCGCCGTCTGCGGCGTCCTGGAGACCGGCCTGCAGAGAGCGTATCCAGGGAGCAGAACCTGGCTGTGCGGGGAAGTGTGCCCGTCCCTGGGGGAGGGGGTAAACTGAGGCAGCGCGGCCAGGCTGCGGCGGAAGGTTGCACGAGCGGCTGGGGAGAAGTCGCACTTGATTCAACGGCACCATGGGTTCCGAGGGGGCGTGGAGGCCCGCACTGGGCAGCTGACTGACTTAATCACAGCACTCTCTGGGGCCTTTTCAGTAGAAGCTCCCGGCTTTTACCCCTTCTCTGCTGAGCCGCGCGGCGAGGCCTGTTAGCGCCCCGGAGCGGGGAGTGCCGTCCCCGGGGCTGGCCGTCCGGGGGCCGGCGGGACGGGGCGGGCTGGGCTGGGCGGGCTGGCGGCGCCCGAGCCCCCTTAGTCTGTAGCTGGGAATCGCGGTGGGAAGGGACACATTTAAAAATGTCACTGCTCTCTCTCGGAGTTAAGTGTGTTTGCGGCAGAGGAAAAAGGTCTTTTTATAAACGTGGAAGGAAAGGCCATGCCCACAGAAAGGAAACTCAGGCCATGAGGGCAGCAGATTCAGCCCGCGCGCCGAAAGAATGTTTAGAACCTGCCGCAGCTGGCTGTCCACTCCGGGGCACGACCCCTTGTCCCTGAGCTGTCCATTAGAAAGTGACACCAGCCAGCACAGCAATAGCCGTCTTGTGTGAATGAGTCAAAACTGTATGCATTTTTTTGTGTGATGCTGGCAAAATACATGTTTTTTGCTGCGCTGCAGGGTTTTAGTAGTTAGTGCCCGTTACTAACGGAAGCAGCTGAAAGAGGGGGAGAACCGCGGTGTCAGAGGACGTGAGACCTTAGGAGCAATGCAGGCCACTGAGGGGAAGCAGGGCCAGGCTCGGCTTTGGGGTCGATGGTATCGCGGGGGCTCCCTAGGCCTCCCATGTCCTCAGACTCACAAGCACCGCGGCCGAGAGCATCTCTGAGTGGCCGAGTCACGGCTCGGGCTTGGGCTTGAGCTTGGGCTTGAGCTTGGGCTTCCCCTGCTCCGGGGAAGCTGGGCTTTGTTCATGCGCAGCTGCCTGCGGCCGTCGGAGCGCCGGGTGCAGTGCAGAGAGCAGGCGCGCCGGCCCGGTGTTCCCCCTCGTCTGTCCGCCCGGTGGCCAATGGGGCGGGAGGGCTCTCTTGGGGGAGGGAGCCGTGAGCAAGCTCAATGTCACTTGTCCCTCTGTTGCAGAGTACGGCTCCAGCCTGGAGGATGACGTGGTGGGGGACACCTCGGGCCACTACCAGAGGATGCTGGTGGTGCTGCTGCAGGTACGGGGGGGCGGGGTGCGTGTTTTGGTGAAAACGTCAGAAGCCTCAGTAAACTCACCCGAAATGACTTTCATCGCGTCTGGCGCTTGACCCTTCTGGCCGCCCGGTGTCCTTGTGTGCCGGTGTTCCGGAAGATCTGGCCAGCGCTCTCACCAGCGGACGCTTAGCGGCGTTTGGGGATATCACTGCCCTCTTCACGTCTAGACCCTAAGGTGAAGACGGGCGGGCCGGTGTTGGCCAGTGAGTGCTGGGCGACAGCGCGAACTGTTGTGAGGACGGACACGGTCTTGGTAAACGCACGTTGTTCCAGAGCAAAAGGCTTTGTCCGTGCGGCCGTCGGGGGCAGTCGCGTGGCGTCTGCGCGGCGGTGCTCCCGGAGGTCGGTGACGGGGCGCGTTCTGTCTTCCAGGCCAACAGAGACCCCGACACGGTCATCGACGAGGCGCAGGTGGAGCAGGACGCGCAGGTGAGTGGGACCGAGGGGCGGTGGCCGTGCCGTGACCGACCGGTGACAAACAAACCCGTGCTCACGCGGCCTCAGGACTGTCCGGTCGCCACGGCATCTGGGACGGCCCGCAGAGCGGAGGGCCCCTGGTCAGGGGGTGGGGTGGGGGGGGAGCACCGTGTGTGGCCGTGTATCATGCGCACCCGTGTCTCTGTGCACATCACAGACACGGGATAGTCACGCCCAGCAGTACAGCCGTGGCGTGAGGTCTTTATGCCCACGTGTAATGCGTGTCCTTATTTTCCCTCAGAACTTGGGGTGAGAACATTACACGCAACAAAACACGGTACCCTCCTCTCACGTCTCTCATGTGGCCAGCAGAATGGTTTATCCCGAAGCTGAGCTGAAATAAAATAAAAGTCACACAGGAGTAGTGAGTTCCGCCTCGGTACGCTGCTTCTCTGGGGTAGTGGAGCACCCACAAAACAACCAGCCACCTGCCCGCCCGCCCGCCCACAGGTGCTGCTGCTCCCAAGGGGGCGGCGGGTCTTGGGGCGGCCTGCCCTGAGGGTAAAGACGGAAGTGTTTTAGGGGTGGTCGGTGCCTTACTCTGCAGCAGACGGCAGATCGTTAGGGCCCGGAAGCTCCTCCGCCTGTCCTGTCCTTCGGCGGCGTCCCCAAACGGGCTTGCCGTCTGGCCGGCTGATTTCTGGGGACCCCCCCGGGGGACAGCGCCCGCGGACGGCGGAAGGGCCCTCCCGTAAGCCCTGCTGCCCTGCTGCCCTGCTGAAACCCGGCCCGAGAGTCCCTGTGCGTCGCCGCCTGGGGGTGGAACGGGCCTCGGATGAGCCGCTGTGCTTTGTAACCGCGTGCGTGCCACACGGACCGGCCTCCTCCCCTGCCGCGTCCCGTGGGTGCTGTCTCGGAGGGACAGTTGGCCTCGAGGGGGGAAGGGGAGCCGGAGGCGGAGGGGCCGTGCTTAGCGAGCCCCCTGGTTGGTTGCCTGGCCTCGCAGCCGGTGGTGCCGTGAGCTACAGAGTTTCCGTCAGTGGCAGGCGGAACCATTGTTCCCCCTCTTCTGCTCTGCAGCTGAGGGCTCCGCGGCCCAGGGGGGCACCGGCGCCTCCTCTAGGGCTCAGAGACCAGGACGGGCCCCGTCTGCCTGACTCCGGAGCCTCTGCCCTTGGTCCTGAACCAGGGCTCCCCAAACCACCGTGCTCGGGCTGCACGCAAAGCCCCCTGATGGGGAGGGGACGGGAGGAGGGGTGAGGGTGCCCCTTGCAGGTGGCTCCAAGGTCACCGGCCCCTCTCTGGCGCCCAGCCAGACGAGAGGGAGCTTTTCGGTGCCTTTGCCGTCACTGCCACCGTGCACGCCGGCCGAGCGGTGGCTCTAGAGCAGACGCCGACCCCCACGCCGCCGCTCCGCCCGGAGATGAGGCCACGGTGCTCAGCATGGCTTCTTCACGGATTGTCCCCCTGCAGCAGGCCTCACTGCTGTGCCCACCGGAGGGAGTTCTAGAAACCGGGGCCGTTGGCGACAGGGAGTGTGTCCCGGGCCGGCAGTGCCCTGCGGGGCACCCGCCTGGGTGTTCCGGTGCCCGGGGCCTCTCTGTGTCGGAGACGCCGTATCTCTGCGACGTCGCCGTGGGTGGCCATTTCTGTTTCCTCTGTGTTTTTTTCCTGAAGTGACGGACTTTTCAGTGGGCGCGTGTTACTTCTGTGGTGAGACCCGAAGGGCCGCTTGCAGAGCGCGCTGGAGCACCATCCTCCGGAGCTCCTGCAGGTCCCCGGGGAGCGCTTTCCGGTTCCACACGGCACGCCCCCACGACCAGCGTCGCTGTCCTTCGTTGTTTCTGTCAGGAACACAATTTAAAATTGGGTGTAAAGCTGTGACGCTGCTTTGCATCCTCTGGAAACAAGAGCAGGTCTGCACGGCCACAGCCCGTGCTCCTGGGCACGCTGGGCTCACCCTGAGTGGTCCGCGGCGCGAGGGGGCGGGGGCCGCCGGAGCCTCGAGGAGCAGCCCCACGCACCACCTCCGTCTGGGCTTCGTGGGTGGGCTTCCCGTGACGTCAGCGCTCGAGAGGCTAGTGTAGAGACGTCGCAGAGTCCTCCGTGGGTGTGAACAGGTTACCCACGTCTCAGGACGTGGGCCCCGACTTAGTGATGGTGTTTGTATGTCACTTTGTGTCTTCAGTAGTCACGTGGGCACAGGGAAGCATGCGTTTTCCCGTGTAAGGAAGTACACGTGGAACGTGAACTCGTATGGGACCAGTGCGTGGGAAGCGCCTGCCGGTGCTGGGCACGGTCCTCCATCCACGGCCCTCACACGCGCACCGCGACCCTGCAGGACTGTGGGGCCGGCTTGTGCTCCGGTCACCTTCCCGGTGTGGACAGGGCATGGGACGTCCCTTTCCGTCGGGTGGCGCAGGTGGTAGCTGCACCACCACTCAGGCGGCTCAGCTGCAGCGCAGGCCCAGCCGTCAGGGCCCACAGCCCAGCTGTCGGGCAGTGTCTTCCCTGGCCCTGGGCGGGCGCCCGCAGCTGCCTGCAGCCCCGCCCTGGCTCCCGAGAGACTGGACGTCACGGCAGACGCCCTGGGGACATCCGCCTCATGCCGGGGCTGCCTGCGTGTGGAGCTTGGACCCGCCGGCCTCCCGTGCGGGCCCCGGAGGAGCCCCAGACACAGTCCCCGGGTCTCACAGCAGGGGTCCTTAGACCCGGAAGGCGTCGGGTGGGGGGTCAGGCGGGTCGGCGTCCAGGGCGTAGAAGCCCCGTGAGTCTCGGAGCCCAGGGACTGGGGGTGGGAGGGGGGAGGAGCGGGCCGCTCACCGAGGCTGGCATCTCTCCTGCAGGTGCTGTTCCAGGCCGGAGAACTCAAGTGGGGCACGGACGAAGAGAAGTTCATCACCATCTTCGGGACGCGGAGCGTGTCCCACCTGCGCAGGGGTGCGTGCAGGGCAGGGCGGGAGCCAGCACGCCTGCTGCTGGGCACTGCCGGGATGGGCTGGGGTTTGTGTGTCTTCTTTTCCCTGGCCTTGAGAGCTCTCACCGTTCCCTTCGCTGCTGTTGTGGCTTTCTCAAAGCCCGAGGTCCTTCGTCCACCCAGTGCTGTCGGAGGGGGAGGGAGCGGCTTCTGGACTGTCACCCCCAGTCGCAAACCACGGGGCTGTGGTCCCCTAGACGCATTTCTGTCTAGATGGTGGTGACCAGAACCTCATCTCTGATAGCCATCAGTGCATGTCATATCAGGCAGGCATGAGTGGGGGGCTAGTGACAGAAAACCCTACTGATGGTGGCTGTAAAACCTGCGTTTTCTGCCTGGCTGGTGCGGCTCGGTGGATTGAGTGCCGACACGTGAACTGAAAGGTCGCTGGTTCGATCCCCCGTCAGGGCATATGTGTGGGATGTGGGCCAGGTCCCTAGTAGGGGACGTGCAGAGGGGTAACTGATACACATCAATGTTTCTCTCCCCCCCTCCTCCTTTCTCTGGAAATAAGTAAATACAGTCTTAAAAAACAAACAAACTGGGCTTTCTGTGGTAGGATTCCTCGGCTAATTTGGCAGGACGTGGGCTCTTTCTCTTGGCTGCTCCACTGTCCTTAGTGGTTTGGTGCCTCATTGTCACAAGGTGGCTGCTGTAGCTCCAAACATAGCAACCATCTTCCCAGCAAGAAGAAAGGGGTAAACGAATCATATGTATGAGTTTTAGTAAAGAGAGAGAAAGATTTCTCAGATCCTTTCCAGGAGATTTAGCTTCAGGTCCCCTTGGGTATAACTAGTAAGGAGCGGCTGAGAAATCAGGGAATAAAACATCCGTAACCAGTTGTTCAGGGCGAGGCACAGTGAGGCTGGGAACCAAATCAGAGACTCATGTTTGGTGGGGCCGCGCCTGGTTGGAGTAGATGTCTTCTCTCCGGGATTCGCGATCGTTCGGTAACGGCCGCTGTTCTGCTCCGCAGTGTTCGACAAATACATGACCATCTCTGGCTTCCAGATCGAGGAGACCATCGACCGCGAGACGTCGGGCCATCTGGAGCAGCTCCTCCTCGCTGTCGGTGGGTGGTTGTGCGACGCATGCAGAGTGTCTGGTGTTGAGAGCTACGTAGAGTCGTTCCCTCCGTTTAGGCTGTGTCTGGAAAGAGCCACCTGTTTCTTTGTGAACACAATGGGAGGCGAACTCCTCCATTTCCAGTGCCGGGTCTGTTCTGATGAGGGAAATGCATGACCGTCCGTCCGGTCCGCTCCCCTGGCCCTGCGGGAGTGCGGGAGGAGCTGTCTCAGAACCGTGCTGACGCCGCACGCACCGAGAGTGCTGCTGCTGCGCCATGAGCCGGGGCCGGGGCCAGTGACCAGGGCTTTCTCCCAGAAGCGTGTCACTGTCGTCCTGGGTCCTGTGAGGGTCAGGTCCCTCCCAGCGCCATCCGCCCTCCTGCTTGGCGGCAGCCGGAGGGACCGGCGTCCGATGGGGTGTTTCAGTGTAAAAGCTTTGGGACTTCACTTCAGCTAAAGGTTCCGAACGACCTGGAAAACCTGGAGGCCCGAGGGAGACCGCTGGTTGTGGTGTCGCGGGCCCTCCCAGTCCAGGGACAGTCTCGCTGGCGAGTAAGTGCCCAGCGGTGGTGGTTCCCACACTTTGGAGTTTGGCGTGGACGTCTGTCCGCCGCTTGCTCCCAGCTCCCGGTGTTGAGCGCCCGCTGTGCCCTCGTCCTGGGTGTGGGGGGGGGGCACTAGCCGCAGGCTCCGGGGCAGCAGCACCCACGGGGGCCTCTCACTGAGTCCGCAGCCTGTGGGCGTCTCCCTGGATCAGAACACACTGTTTGATCCAGGCTGTTTGTGCAAGCATTGGGAAGGGGAATTTTCCCCGTCCCCCTTGAAGGATTGTTAGTTCTGCACAGTGAGGAATTTTCACGTAAGAGTTTCTGGAGCTCAGCAGACGGAGGACTGAGCAGCCCTCACCACAGACGGGCACAGGCTCGGGGGACGTGGTGCCTGTCGCCAGCTTCCCCGGGGGTTCCCACTGCAGGGGGCGCCCCGCCTGCCGCTCTGCGCGAGTCCCGGCTGTCACAGGGCACGGACAGGACACTAGGTCCCAGTCACAGGCGGACAGTCCAGGGTCTGTGGAAGGCTCGCTAGTCTGGCCGTACGTGCTGGGCTGTGCTGGGCTGGGACTTGAGGATTCCTCGGCGATGCAGGAGGCAGCAGCAGAGCCACCAGAGCTGCCACAGCTGCTAGAGCGGGCAGGTGCTGGGGGACCGAGGGGCTCGGCCCCACGCCCCCTGCACCCTTGCCCCCCTACACCCTACATGTCCGCCGCGTGCGCCTGAGGACTCGGAGGGTGGCCCAGCCAGGCCCGCGTCCGGCAGACCTGTACACAGGAGCTCCGCCCGCTTGCCGCGCGCCCTCCCCGCGCCGGTTCTGCGCACTCGCACGCGAGGGCACCGCGGCGGAGCGTCTTCGGTCTAAGGCGGCCTGAGCCGGTTCTCACCGGCTGGGCCCTGACGCGCGCCCCCTCTCCCCGCAGTGAAGTGCATCCGCAGCGTGCCGGCCTACCTCGCCGAGACGCTCTACTACGCCATGAAGGCAAGTGCGCCCCTCCCGGCCCCTCTCTGACTCTCTCTCTCCGGTCATCACCTTCCTGCGCCTGCGACTGGGTGCTAGGGGACGGCCTGGGGGACTGCTCCGCTCTGCTAAGCGGTTCCACTTTACTGGGTCACCCTCCCCGTTGGGGCGCGCGGTGCTCCGCCGCCGTCAAGCCACGTGCGCCTCTTGTCCCTTTCCAAGGGCGCGGGGACCGACGACCACACCCTCATCCGCGTGATCGTGTCCAGGAGCGAGATCGACCTGCTGAACATCAGGAAGGAGTTCCGGAGGAACTTCGCCACCTCCCTTTACTCCATGATCAAGGTGAGGAGGACCCTCCCGACCTTCTGCCTGGAAGGCCGGCAGGCAGTTCTGAGGTTCCGTTTGAAGCTGGGGGTGGGGTGGGGGGCGGGGGGCGGTGCGGAGCCGCGCAGGGAGAGGCTGCAGCGCGATGGGGCGGTGGCGACCGCCGCCCCCGCACACCCACCCCTCCCGGGGAGCACTGCGTGTGTGCTGTGTGTCCTTTCCCTCCGGGCCTGTCCCCGTCCCCACTCCCAGTCCGGGGAAGAGCCAGCTGGCTCGGAGCGCGAGCAGGTGAAGGGCCGCGGCATCGCTGCAGTTCTGCCGTCCTGCCAGCAGGGGCGCTGTGGCCGGCCGGCAGTTACACTTGCTTGCTCGCGGCCCTTCGACTTTCTCCTCCTCCCTCTTTCCGTTCCGTCTTCGCTCCCCTGGCCCCGCTCCCCCGCCCCCCCTCCCCTTTGTGATAAAGAGGAACGTGGGCGCTGTGGCCATCAGCCCCACGGCTGTGCTAGCTTTTGACTTCCCGCGTGTGGTGTGGCCGGGCAGAAGGGCCCGCGAGCCCACCCACGCGCTCTGGCGTGGGCATCAGTCTGGCGCGCACACCGGTGCGCAGGCGCCCCACGCGGTCTTGGCGGCGAGGCCGTGCAGCCAGGCGGTGCCCCCACCGCCCGGCTTGGCCAGACACCCGCTGGGTGGTGCTGTGGGATCGCGCTGGCGCTTATCCACGACGCTGGGCGTGAGCGCAGTTGTGGAAGGTTCCCTGTCCCCTGGGACGCCAGAGGGCAGAGCTGCGTGCGCCTTCGAGGGGCGGACCCGGGGAGTGAGGCCGCAGTCAGGTCGGCAGGAGACTCCCGCCTGGTGTCCCCCGAGCGACCGTGGGGGAGAGATTGCCCACGGGGGAGAGAAGCCACATGCACAGGCCTTCCTGCCGGCCGTTCTTGGTTTTCACTCCTGGGGGGCCTGGGAGCCGTGGGGGTAACGGAGAGCTTCTGGGTTTCAGGGGGACACGTCTGGCGACTACAAGAAGGCCCTGCTGCTGCTCTGTGGGGGCGAAGACGACTGAGGGGCCGCACCTGAGGCCGCTGCACCGCCGCCCTCCGCACCGCTCGCCGCCCTCCGCACTCCACGGCCCGGCTGCGCCTCCCCCGCGCCGGCACCCCGACCCAGCCCCGGGCGCAGGATTCCCGGGCGGGCTGCCCCCCCCCCGCCCCGCCCCGCCCCGCCCCAGATCCCCCTGCTGACCGTGGCAGTCCCCACGCGCACTTAGGTACTGAGGCTGCAGTCTGCGACACTTCAGGTGCCCTTAGGAGGTCAGACTGCTTTTAGCCTCTTCAGCGACTTCACTGATACTAACTCGATAACCATATCACCTTAACTGGAAGCTTAGCCTTGACCTCGTGAACCCCAGGACGGCTCGGCATCAAGGCCACCACTGAATTAACCCTGGAGAATCATGGTAGCTGTATGTGAAGATTAGCCATAAATAAACGTGGCTTCTCCCTGCATCACGTGTGGGCGTGTGTTTAGAAGGTTTAATTTATCTCCTTGACAGCGGCGTCTGTTTTCAGGCTGGTCGGCGACCGTGCTGTGTGCGCGGAGCGCGAAGTGCAGCACCCCGCACTGGGAACCGCCCGTGCCGTGTGGGCGGGTGTGGGGGGGGGCTGGGTTAGCTGGGGTGCATTCATGGGGGCTCCGTTTAGTGGTGTTCAGGATGCTTAGGAGAAAAGTTAATTTATTCTATTTATTTTAAAAAATTATTCTTAGAGACAGGGGAAGGGAGAGGAAAAGAGAAAGAGAGGAACATCAGTGTGTGGTTGCCTCTTGTGCGCCCCCTACTGGGGACCTGGCCCGCAACCCAGGCATGTGCCCTGACTGGGAATCCAACCAGCGACCCTTTGGTTCTCGGGCCAGCACTCCATCCACTGAGCCACACCAGCCAGGGTGAGAAAAGGTGATTTTAAAACTTCACCTAAAACTTGAGAGTGCTATTCTCCTCTTTCCCCTGTTAACCTGTGTTTCCTGTTTTTTTTTTAAGCTTATGTATTTACTTAAAATTTTTCAGCTACAGTTGACATTCAACATTACCTTAGTTTCAGGTGCCAAGCGTCGTGGTTGGACGTTTCTGTGACCTAGGAGGTCAGCCCCGGTGCCCACCGGCGCCGTGCGTGGTCATCACGACGTGGCCGACCATGATCCCCGCGCGGCCCTTGCCTTCCCTGGACTGGGTACACCCCCAGCTCCCTCCCCTTCCCCCTCCCCCTCCGCCCCTCACGTGCTCTCATCCCACAACCCTCACTTACGCTGTGTGTCTGCGAGTCTGCTTTTGTCTTGTTTGTTCATTTATTTTGTTGCCTAGCTGCCACATGTGAGTGGAATGGGGTGGCAGCTGTCTTTCTCTGAGTGGCTCATTCCCCGGAGCATTATACCCTGTAGGGCCACCCGTGCTGTCACGAAGGGTGAGATTTCATTCTGGTTTTGGACAGCTGAGCAATGGCACACTGTACGTACCTACCACATCTTCACCCGGTTGGGTGTCAGTGGGCGCTGCGGCTCCTTCCACACCTTGGCTGTTGTAGACACAAGGGCGCCTGTATCTTTTCGAATTGGTGTTTTGGATTTCCTCAGGCAAATACACAGAAGTAGGATTGCTGGGTTTCGATAACCTGCTGCCTTTACTGTGCCTTTACCTTTCCAGTGAGATTTTAACTTTCATATGTTTTCTTGCCACTAGTTGGTGCTCTTTCTTTTCAGCTTAATGGGGCCCCTGGAACATTCCTGGTAAGCCCGGTTTAGTGGTGATGAACTCCTTCGCTTTTGCTTGTCTGGAAAACTCTCTCCCCTTCAATTCCGAAGGACAGTGTGCTGGGTGGAGTATCACTGGGTGGCAGGTTGTCCGCCCCCGCCTGCTCCCCCCGCCCCCCCCCCCGCCCCTGAACTTGGAGTAGAGCGTGCCACTCCCTTCTGGCTGCAAACTTTGTGCTGAGAAACCTGCTAACAGTCATATGGGGCTTCCTGTGTTCATAACAAGTCAGCTCTCTCTTGAGATTCTCTGTGTGTCCTTCACTTTGACACTTTAATTATAATGTGTCCAGTTGCCGGTCTCCCGGCTCATTGGAACTCGGCTTCCTGGACCTGCTGTCTGTTTCTTCTCCCAGGTCAGGGACCTTTGTAACCATGGTCTTCCGTAAATACATTCCCTGGGACCCCACCCCTATCCCGTGGATGCTGGCCGGCTTGCTGTTGCCCCCTAAGTGGCTTCAGCTGTCTCTCCTCTTTTATCTTCATTCTCGCTGCTCTGAGTTCCTCTGTCCTTTTCCTGCTTCGTGCAGTCTGCTGGCGAGCCCCCTCCGCTGGAGTTTTAAATTTCAGCCATTGTATGTATTCTTCAGCCCTGTGCTTTCTGTTCGGTACCTTCTTATGTCTTTTCTCTCTCTGAAATTCCCTGTCTGTTCATTGTTCTCTGAGTGTGGCGGGCATCTTTATGGCCCCGGTTTGGGGACGTTTTATGAGGTAAGTCACTGATCTGCATCGCATTCAGGGTGATTTCTGAGGTTGCATCTTGTTCTTCGTTTCCTGGCCTCTCTGCTGGTTTCTGTGATTTGGTAAAACCGCCCCCCCCCCACTCTCCCCCACTCTCCCCCCGCCCCCCAGGGCCCTGGGAGACTCGGCCCCGGCCCGCGGGGGTTTCTCCGTCCTCTGTGCCTGTCCCCGCTGCCCTCCCTACTCCCCGGGCTGAGGGTGGCGCTGCCTGGGAGACAGACCCCCCGCTCAGGCACGCGCACCTCTCCCCGGGCGAGGCTGGGAGATGGTCCAGGTGTCTGGGGGTGACGGCCAGGCAAGAACTGCTCCTTGGTTTGCCCCTCGTCGGACGGGTGAGCCTGACCCCCACTGTCCAGCAGAGTCCGGCGGTGAGGGGTGGCCCCCGGCAGCCGGCGCAGAAGCTGTCGTGCGGTCCAGGGGCCCAGCTCCCAGGACCCACGGCGACGGCAGCTCACACTGACACGGAGCGTGAAGGCGGCCCCCTCCCGCCTGTGTCCCCCGCCGTGCCCCAGTGGCCTGTGTAAGTGTGCCCCGGGAGCCTGGCCCAACACAGGCAAATGGGCCGCTTCCACCAGCAGGCTTTCACAGAGGGGTTGGGTGTGTTTCCGTTCGCTGTGCCGTGTCCCGGGGTGGCCCTTGCCAGGAACTGTCATCTGTTTGGTCCAGTTTCATTATTTGATTTTGTATTACCTGACCTGCCCTGTCTGTGGCAGTCCCTCCCATGCCCAGCAGGTGGCGCTGTTGGCATAAACTTCCTTCCATGACGTTCAAACTGCTCGTTTACACTGAAACTTGAAAAATTTTCAGCCCCAGAGCACATTCTTCCAGAGTCTTCCTCACGCCAACCCTCAGGAGGGAGCAGATCTGAATTTTAACCTCCTGCTTGGTTACTCGTCTGTAACCCTGGTTTAGGACGTTCAGTGGGTTTTTTTTTTTTCCCCAAAAGCACTGTTTTTTTTCCTTGTGATACTTTACAGTCTGATTAGTTCCCACCTCCTCTCCTGCTCCCGATGGCTCGGTGGAGCGCAGGGCACACCTCTTCCCTGGTGAAGTCTTTGGAAGTTCCTACAGACGAAGTACATTTCTCTCCTCCCTTAAACCCGGTGACGGTTAGATGCACAGACAGGGGTGCGCCTGGGAAGAAACCCTTTCATGCACCATGAGTCTGCCTTCTGGGCTTTGATATTTGAAGTGGGAGAATGTTCTAAACACTTGCGTTTACTCCCCCCCCCCATTTTATTCGCACACACAAATGTCTGGAACTGCTGTCCTCTCTCCTGCAGACAATTTTCCTTCCCAGGTTCTGTATTTCTGGCGGTGGCTCTGACATCCTTCTCCATACGTACGGGTCTCAGAGCCTGGGGGCGACTTTCACACCTTCCCTCCCTGTGCCCTTCGTGTTAAATTAGTGAGCACAGGTGCAGGCCATCTTCCCGCCCTCTGTCTGTCACCCCGCCTCCCCCTCCTGCTGGGAACCCGGGTTGGGAATCTCCGTGTATTTGGACGACCTCAGGGACTTCTTTGTGATCAAGAAAAAAAAAAACCTTTTATTTTCATCAACGCAATAAAGACACCAGTGTAAAAAGTCAAACAGCATGAAGTTCAGGGATCAGAAGCCCTTCTCCCCCGGCTGCCCTGCCCCATCCTGCCCTGCCCTGTCGGGGAGGCGGTCACCAGCGTGGACCATTGGTGTCACTTTCCCTGTGGGTGTTTTCCAGGCCGCTCCGCCTCCCTGTGGGTCCCCTGCTGTCCTCCACGGGGACCCAGCTCTGCACATCGTGACTCTTCGAAGCCCCTTTCTCAGTGACACATCTGTTCCTTGTTCCGGCAGCGAGGGGGCCGCCCGGAGACTCCCACTCGCTCAAAGGGGAGGGCACAGGGACGCTACCGCCCCTTCCGGCCCCTTCCACCTGCGGGCCCTGCCGCCTGTGGCTTTGCCTTTTAAGTAAATCGGGGTCGAACCTGCTGGCACTCCGTTTGCTGGCCCCAGGACGTCCCTGGTCGTTGGTGTGTTGGTTCCAGAACTTGGGACCGCACAGAAAAGGTGCGACTGTGGACGACGAACAGCTGATCTGTGATTCTGTTTCCGGTCCTGGGCGCGGGTCCCCCGCCCCCCTGTGACATCTGCCCGGGTTGTTCCTGTGTCTGCGGGCATCGAGCTTGGGTGAACTCCGTGACGCCTTCCCCACGTCGTCTCCTGGAATCTCTCTCCCGGAGCCCCTGTGCTCTGGTCGGATGGATTCCCCAGGCCACACAGGGGACCTTCCAACGCCAGTGCGGGGTGGCCCAGCTCCCGGGTGGCTGACTCGTTCATTGACATAGCTCTCCTGAGACAGGCGGTTCCATCTATCATAGAAGACCCCCCCACCCCCCCACCCCCGCCCCTGTCTCCCTCCGTGGCTGGGGAAGGGGAGGGCATTGAGCAGAGGGCCACCGAGCTCCAGGGAGACTGGAAGGGGAGGGGGGCGGGGTTCAGACCGTGCCCCGACCCCTGCAGGTGCCGGGGGCCCTCGGGGGCTCTCCCGGGCTGCTGGGTTCATCCCCACGAGTGACGGACACGCAAAGAGCCGGGCCCAGCGGGAAGGCGGTACGAAAATGTGCCTGGTGACAAAAAGCAGCGCGTTATTGGGAGGTCCAGAGGCTCTGTTCATGACACAGACTCTTTAAAGGAGGCAGGAAATCATTATTTGAAGTTTCTTAGTGATGAAATGGCTGTTATTTTGCTTTGCATAATTCTCTCTCCTGCGGGGGAAATGAAAGATCTTCTGTAGGACACGGCTTCCCACGCAGTGTCCCAACTGACTGCACTTTATGCTGAAATCGTGCAACATAATAACACCATTATTATTTTAAGTGGGCAGCTGTCGGAGGAGAGCGTCTTGAGGAAGTGGGGGGGTGAAGAATGTGACCCACGAATTATCTTTGGTCCTGAGCAAGGAACAGACCTGGACCGCTGGGCTGCCGG